GTTAATATTTTTACACTGTTTAAAAACTTTTCTGATGAGATTGGTGTTAGTATTAATGAATATGATTTATTTTACTTTTTACTTTTTTTCTTTTTTTTTCTTTTTTTTATAATTTTTATTGTTGGTTGTTCAGAACATTACATAGTTCTTGATATATCATATTTCACATTTTGATTCAAGTGGGTTATGAACTCCCATTTTTACCCCATATACAGATTGCAGAATCACATCGGTTACACATCCACTGATTTAGATATTGCCATACTAGTGTCTGTTGTATTCTGCTGCCTTTCCTATCCTCTACTATCCCCCTCCCCTCCCCTCCCTCTTCTCTCTCTACCCAATCCACTGTGATTCATTTCTCCCCCTTGTTTTTTTTCCCTTTCCCCTCACTTCCTCTTGTATGTAATTTTGTATAACCATGAGGGTCTCCTTCCATTTCCATGCAATTTCCCTTCTCTCTCCCTTTCCCTCCCACCTCTCATCCCTGTTTAATGTTAATCTTCTTCTCATGCTCTTCCTCCCTACTCTGTTCTTAGTTACTATCCTTATATCAAAGAAGACATTTGAAATTTGTTTTTTAGGGATTGGCTAGCTTCACTTAGCATAATCTGCTCTAATGCCATCCATTTTCCTGCAAATTCTATGATTTTGTCATTTTTTAATGCAGAGTAATACTCCATTGTGTATAAATGCCACATTTTTTTTATCCATTCGTCTATTGAAGGGCATCTAAGTTGGTTCCACAGTCTTGCTATTGTGAATTGTGCTGCTATGAACATCGATGTAGCAGTGTCCCTGTAGTATGCTCTTTTTAGGTCTTTAGGGAACAGACCGAGAATGGGAATAGCTGGGTCAAATGGTGGTTCCATTCCCAGCTTTCCAAGAAATCTCCATACTGCTTTCCAAATTGGCTGCACCAATTTGCAGTCCCACCAGCAATGTACAAGTGTACCCTTTTCCCCACATCCTCGCCAGCACTTGTTGTTGTTTGACTTCATAATGGCTGCCAATTATTTTACTTTTTATTTTCTTGTGGTACTAGAGATTGAACCCAGGGGCTCTGTACCACTGAGCTACATCCCCAACCCTTTTTAAAAATTGGATTTTGAGAACTTCCTAAGTTGCTGAGGGTCTCATTAAGTTGTTGAGGCTAACCTTGAACTTGCAATCTTCTTGCCTGAGCTTCCTGAGCTGCTGGGATTACAGGCATGTACCATTGCACCCAGCTGATTTGTTTTTTATATTATATGAATGAAATTTGTTAGCAATGGGAAGATATGCATAACTCAATGAATCAATATTTACTAAATGACCAATGCAGGATGTACAAAGTCATAAATGAGTAAAAGATTCATTCAAAGGATAGGATAGATGAATGGAATTTAATGTAAGAATATAAAATATTTATTGATATAGTTTCAGATTCTGCATTGCAGCTAACCTTTAAGAAAATACCACTTGTTGAGTGTCTTAATTTTTTTATTGCTTAAAAATGGTCTTGTTGTTTTGCCCAGGCTGGCACTGAACTCCTAGACTCAAGTGGTCCTTCTGCCTCAGCTTCTCAAGTGGCTGGGCCAACAGGTGTGTGCCAGTGTGCCAGGCTCTACTTGTTGAATTTTGGGGTGGTATCAAAGAATATTTGAAAAGTCTATTTAAAATACTCCTTTTCTCAAACTGCCTGTTAGATTGAGGCTGGATTTTCTTCATATACTTCAGCCAAAATAACATACTGCAACAGAATTGAATGCAGAAACAGATATGAGAATCCAACTTTTATTAAACCAGACAATAACGAGATTTATAAGAATGCAAAACAATGCCATCTTCGTACTGTTTTTGAAAATAGAGTTATTATTAAAAATGTCATTCATATTAACATGGGTTTACTTTTAAAAATGAATTAAATATTTCAGTTTTTATCTGTTTTAATTTTTAATGCAGTATATATTAATTATAGTAAATATGAATCCACATAACTCACAGAAGTTTTATGAGCTCTTTATGTAAAAGTTTCCTGAGACTAAAATGTTTGAGAACCTATGGTATAGTTATTTAGAGCAGGGACTTGGAGACAAATTGCTTATGGGTAGAACCCAGCTTTATTGTTCAATAACTTTGTGACCTTAGGCAAGATACTACTTTTTGCCTCAGTTTCCTCATCTGTGAAATGAGATAATAATATAACTTACAAGGTGTCCATAGTGATTAACTTGAATATATGGAAAGTTTTTAGACTTTTTTATGATTTGGCAAGTATGCAGTTACTACCTGCTGAACATTTGTAATGTATTGGTGTTTTTTTTAATAGATATTATAGTTCTAGATTTGTAGAGTAGGTGTTTTTAGATATTTCCCTGGCCTGTTAATCAGTAAAGTCCCTGATATCTTCAGCCCTCCCCTCCCCGCTTTCCTGTAAGTCTTTGGTTCTGAACCTTTGTTGCTTGTTAGAACTTTTAGGAAAAAAATTCCAGTACACAGGCTACACCCTGTTTGACCCAGTGAAATCAGAATATGTTGTGTGTGTGTGTGTTCGCGCGTGTGCATGCATGTGAGTGGTAGGGGGTGGCAGGGTAGGGTCCAGGCAATGGCTAAGGCTCTTCCGTGATTTCTTTGGGAAGTTTGAGAATCCCTGTTCTAAAGCCCGGCCCCCTCTCTGCCCTGAGATTCTGCCTCCTTTCCTGTTTCTCAAATAAGTGGTTATTTGAGAAACAAATAACATATACATCAGTAGTTGTTTGTACTAATGTCTGTCTTACCCCTGTGACTCAATGCTTGGAGACACTTGCCTTGCTCTTCATACTGCTATCAAGGAAATTCCTTTTCCTTCACCCTCAGCTCGAAACTTAGCCAGCAGCCTCAAGGACCCTGTGCTCTCTCCTTGTTATTTAAAGACCCCTGAGTCCTTCTCTTTATTACTTGAGGGTTTTAGCATGTTGCTCCTGGGCACCCTCTCAGCATTACTCTTGTCATGATTCTGGGTGATTTTAATGTTCATATAAATGATTCTTCTAATACCCCTGCCATTCAATCCCTGACCTCCTCTCCTGTCATGATCTCATCCTCCACTCTGCCTTAGCCATGCCAACCCTTTTTGGGGGTAGTACACCAAACTGGGTTATACCTATTATACTACCTCCATTATCTCCAGTGGCTAGCATCCATTCTCTGAGCACATCCTTCTGTCTTTCCAGTTCTTTCTTTTTTTGTGTCTCAACTTCCAACAACTCTTTTGACCCACCACCAAGACCTGCAGTCCATTGGTCCAGCCACCTTTTCATTAACTCTCATTTCCCTTAAGAACTTAATTTGGCTTTATCCTGGCTAAATGACTGTGGTTCATGATTATAATCATTCTTTTGCAGCCCCTCTAAGATCTCTTCCCCTAGAAAGCTCCCTAGTACTTGTCTGCAAAATCCCAACCTTTGTTGAATCCAAATCCCCCCTCCTCCACATCTATTCTGAGGCAGTAGATTGTAGGTTAGCTGGTCTCACTTACAAATCACACCTCCGACCTCAGTGGGCTTTTGGTGCTCTCTGGACTTCCAACTGCATTTCTCCAGTTCATTTATTTTTCTAAATGACTATTTCATACTTTTGTTTCGAACTTCCAGTATCCCATCCTGCTTCCTCACTTTCAGAGATCATCCTCTTCTTCCCCATCTCATGGAGACGATGTCAGCCATCAGAAGAGAAGTGCCACAAGCTCCTGCCAGCAGGTGGAATGGCCTGCCTGCTTGTGTACTTGTTCAGTTGGCCTTTCCTCTGTTTTCTGGGGATAGACTGCTCCTTTCTAAGGCCAGCCCTCTTGGAGATCCAATCCATCGCCACCCGCCCCTGGATCCCCACCTGCCTCACTATCCTCTGTTGGTGTTCGCATCTTCTCTCTATTGTGTCATCAGTTTTCCCTGTCTGCAGGAAGACTGTGTCAGGCCAGGGACCTCCATATAAAGCATACCCCTGACCCCGCATTCCTCTCTAGTTTCCAGTTTGAACTGTTTGTACTAGCGTCTGCAATTTCTTTCTCTGCATTCTCTTAAACCCCTGATGACCAAGCTTTACTCTACCAAATAGTATTTGTCGGGGATGCTACTGACCTGTGTGTACTAGAGCCAGAATTGACTCCTTAGACTTGTTTTACTCATCAGCACCATTGGACACTTAATGATCACTTCTTTATCCTTGAAGAACTCCCTTTACTAGGCTTCTGGAATAATATGCTCTATTTTTCTCAGTGTCATTTATCACATCTACTATATTTATTTATTCTTATTTTTCCCATTAAAATGTAAAATCTTAAGAGTAGGAACTTGAACTGTTTTCTTCCTTGCCTTGAACAGTGGCTGATACATGATAGGAATTGATACATATTTGTGTAATTAATGAATGTGAGCCTACAATTACTGTATACTTCACAGAGTTTCACCCATTTCCAGAAACTTTCCTGGTCATAAAATGTCCTAGTTATTTCTTTCCTTTTTTCTGTTAGATATGCCTTTCTTAATTGTATTTCCCCTTGTTTCTAATCTGTTCCTCTCTTTTTCAGGCTGAACCATCACCTTTGTGTTTATAGTTCTGTGAGACTCTCATGTTTACATCTGCTGTTGCTGATGCAGATGGCCTGTGGATCTGGAGTTAAATTACTGTAGCATATTATGCTGAATTTTAGTGCCAATTGAAAAAAACGCTAAAATTGTAAAAGAATAAGAAACAAGTTCTGTCTTCTGGGATATTTAGGTTTCTTATTTTGTTAACTACCCTTCTTGACATTTTTCGATTGCCTCCTATTCATGGCCAAACTCCTTGATTTTTCTGCACAGAGTTTTGGAAAGTGGAGAAATCACCAAGCTCACAAGACCCTTCTAACTTCATCTCTGGGGTCATGGCTAATTAAGAAAAGTCTATCACTGTGAGATTTTTATATCTCTTTTCCTCTGTATTGATGTGACATGGGATTTGTATGAAAATCGTTTTCACCTGTCGTATTTATGGCTCTGCAGAACCTCGCCTCCTGGAACCCTTCAAACCCTGAGTGCCTCTTGCTGGTGGTGAAGGAGTTGGTGCAGCAGTACCACCAGTTCCAGTGCAGCCGCCTCCGCGAGAGCTCACGCCTCATGTTTGAGTACCAGACGCTGCTGGAAGAGCCTCAGTACGGGGAGAACATGGAAATTTATGCTGGGAAGAAAAACAACTGGGTAAGGTGTTCAGAAAATGGGGGAGAAGTTATTTCATCTGTAACAAAATAAAACAAAATGAACTAACCAATTTAGATGTCTATTCATGGTAAACAACAGTCATTTCTTTAGGTAACCTGTGCACTTTTCCATAGTTTAGAGTTAAAGGGACCTTAATGTTTATCTGGGTTATTGTTTCTCAAAGATATCAACTGGGAACTTTGTAAAATTCAGAATGTCATCCCCAGTCCCTGATCTTCAGAAGCTAGGGGCAGAACCTGATGCAGGTGACCCATGCGTGCGATCTCTCTCTCTCTCTCTCTCTCTCTCTCTCTCTCTCTATATATATATATATATATATATATATATATATATATATATAATTTTTTAAAATTTAGCATCAGGGATTGAACTCATGGGCACTCAACCTCTGAGCCACTTCCACAGCCCTATTTTGTGTTTTATTTAGAAACAGGGTCTCACTGAGTTGCTTAGTGCCTCACTGTTGTTGAAGCTGACTTTGAACTTGCCATCCTCCTGCCCCAGCCTCCAGAGTGGGCCACATTTGGAGATGTTAACAAGTTCCCCTTCCCTTTCAAGGAGGGATTTCTCCTCTATCCCAGTCAGTTAAGGGAGGTCAGTGGTTCTGATGGCAGAGTCTTTAATATTTCCTTTACAGGAGCCTTTAATACTTCCTTTTTATAATTTCTTGACATTGTATAATCCTTTTATACTACAAGTCAGATCATGTAACTCCTCTGCCCAGAGTCTTCAGATACTGTTCTTTTTTCTCTCATGGTAAAAGGCATAGTCCTTCCAGTGGTGTGAAAAGCATGATTGCTGTTGCCACTGTCCTCTGTCCATTGTTCTTTTGCTCGCTGGGTCTCCTCCTCTCTCATGTTCATCTCTGGTTGCTCTGGCATCTTTGCTGTGCTGCAGACACACCAGCTATTTTCCTGCCCTGGGCTCTTGGCATAAGTTCTCTGTTCCCTGGTATGGTTCCCCTAGATATTCACCCGGCTAATCCCTTCTTTCTTCAAGTTTCTACTAATGTGTTTTCAGTAATGCCCTATTGACTCTCCCACCCCGCCCCCCACCTTTTTTATTTTGAGATAGAGTCTTGCTAATTTGCTCAAGGCCTTGCTAAGTTGCTGAGGCTGGCTTTGAACTTGTGATTCTCCTGTCTCAGCCTCCCAAGCTGCTGAGATTACAGGCATGTGCCATTGTTCCTGCCTCCCCCAATTGAAAAAAAAAAGAAAAAACTTTCTTGAGGTATAATTTAGATACCATAAACTTAACCTTAACCTGTTTTAATTGTACACATGAGTTATTTTCTTTGTAATTTATTCATTCATTCATTTATTTTTAACTGATTTTTTACAAAATAAACAACAGTGGAATGCATTACAATTCTTATTACACATATACAGCACCATTTTTCATATCTTTGGTAGTATATAAAGACACCAACGTTGACACCAATTCGTGTTTTCATACATGTACTTTGGATAATGATGTCTATCACATTCCACCATCATTGCCAGCCCCCTGCACCCTCCCTTCTCTTCCCACCCCTCTGCCCTATCTAGAATTCATCTATTCCTCCCATGTTCCCCCTCCCTACTCCACTATGCTAGTCAGTGATTTTTAAAGTAAATTTGCTAATTAAGCAGCCACCTCCGTGTTCTAATTTAGAACAGATCCATCACCCCAGTAAGATCCTCATGCTTATTTACAGTTATTCCTGTTCTTACCTTCAGTGCCAGGGAACCACCAAACTAATAGATTTTCTTTTTTGACTATTTCATGTAAGAGAATAATATAGTATTTGGTATTTATGATTGGTTTCTTTCCTTCTGTGTCATAAGCTTGAGAGCTATTCATGAACCACATGTCAGCCTTTCATTTCCTTTTATGGCTGAATAATATTCCACTGTTAGACATACAACATTTTGTTTATGCTTTCACCAACTACTGGGCATCTGAGTTCTACTTTTAAAAAAAATATTTTTAGTTGTAGATGGACACAATATCTTTATTTTATTTATTTATTTACATGTGGTGCTGAGGATCCAACCCAGTGCCTCATATATGCCAGGCAAGCACTGTACTGCTGAGCTACAACTCTAGCGCAAGTTTCTACTTTTTAAATTTTATGAATAATGGTTTATAAACATTCATATACAAGTCCTTATAATACCAGTTCTTAAAATTCTCTTCCATAAAAATCTCTACTCTTCTTTTTAAGGTGTATCTTTTTAAAAAGTTATATGTTGCTGGGTAAAATGATCATTCCAGAACTTTGTGGCTTAAAGTGATAATATTTACCCTTGTAGCTTTTGTTTATCAAGAATCTGGGTGGACTTTCTATTAACCCTCCCAGGATGCACTGGGGTATTGGCCAGAGCTTTAATCATCTTGTGGCTCCTCTGGAGAGGGATTTTACAAGCTTATTTATGTAGTTGTTGACACAATTCAGTTCCTTGTGGACTGTTGAACTGAGGGCCTCAGTTAAGTGTTTTCTGGAAGCTTCTTTGAGTTCCTTGCCTCTCCTTAGGGCTTTCCACAGGACAGCTCATAAGATGGCAGCTGGCTTCACCAGAGCAAGCAATTAGGAGACAGCAAGAATGTGTGAGCAAGACAAAAACCACAATATTTTATAACCTGACCTCGGAAGTGACATGCCATCACTTTTTGCTATATTCTGTTTATTAGGTCCAGCCCACACATAGGAGAGGAATTACATAAGAGTGTGAGTGCCAGGGACCATTGGGAGCCACTTAGAGGAAGCCTGTTACACTTATTTATTATGTTTATGGTTTGTCTCTCCCCATGGGAATTTAAATTTCTTGAGGGCAGGGGTCTTTGTTTTGTTCACTGATATATCCTAAATACCTGAAGCAGTACCTACTATGTCTTTGGTATTCCATGAAAATTTGTTGAATTAATTAATGAATAAACTCTAGTTAAGCATAGAATAAGTTTAGGTACTCTTTTCTTGTTAATACTTTTAGATTTCACTTAGTCTTTTCTTAGATTAAGTATGTTCTCACTTTTAGTCTTTAGCTTTTTCTTAAAAGATATAATTTCCAAGGTCTTCCACATGATTAATACCTTTGAATTGGCATGACTAAAATTTAAATTTTAGTGACTAAAATTTAATTTTGTTACAAATCTTTTTAATTAAGTTTTAAAATAAAGGTTTTTTTTCTTTTGTAAATTATTTATATTATAGGAAAAGATATATAACTCTAAGCCATGGTTCATTACTATTAAGTATGATCTTCACATTGCTAGGACAGTTGATCTCTAGAACATTTTCTTCCTGTGAAACTGAAATTCTGTACCCTTTAAACACTAATTCCTCCTTCCCTTATCCCTTGGCAAACACTTTTCTATTTCTATGATTTTGACTCCTTTAGATGCTTCACCTGAGTAGAGTTGTGTAGTATTTGTCCTTTTGTGACTAAGTTATATCACTTAACTTGATGTCTTCAAGACTTATCCATATTGTAGAATGTGATGGAGTTTCCCAAATTAAGGCTGCACATTATTCCGTTGTACACATACATCACATTTTGTTTATCTAGTTGTCTCTTGGTGGGCCTGAATTGTTTCCACCTATTGACTATTTTGAATAATATTGCAGTGATCATAGATGTACAAATATCTCTTTAAGATCTTGCTTTTTTCCGAGTGGGGGTACCAGGGATTGAACCTAGGAGTACTTAACCATGAAGTCACATCCACAGCCCTTTTTATTTTTATTTTTATTTTTTTTTCAATGAAGTCATTCTCCCTTAGTATTCCACTAACTATGTACTCCTTTCTTAGTCAGTCTTGTTAAATGATTGGGTTTAACTCCTGTTAGCCACCAGGTGTCTTATTGTATGTCACAAGGCTTTTCCTTCAGCCCTGTTCTGTGGACTATTTATTTATTAAGAGCTTACACAGATGACATAAGGCATGAGTTTCAGTTTTTGTGGTAGTATAGAGCTTGAAAAGATAGCTATTATGTAAAATCATGAAAATTTCTTATTATAAAAGATCACAGAATCTAGAAAATTATTTTTGTGTGCTGGAATGTTGCACTAAACCAACAACATTCAATTTAACAGGGTTAAAAAGCTAGTATAGGACCAATGTACATTTATGGGAAGTCTACTATGCTAGGTTTTGGGTAAATAAAGATGTGTATCATATTTTATGCTTATATCATGGCTTATGCTTCAGAGGGGATAAAGTTAAGTTGAGAAGATTCAATGCGTATTTGTAAAAAAAAATGACATAGCAAAACTAGATTATTTTTCAAATGTGTAAGTGTTCAGCAATACAGCCAACCACTGTGGAATAGAGGGACCAAGGAAAGTCTTTTCTGGTTACCCAAAACTGACCTAGGTCCTGAAGGAAGATGGACAAGGCACTGTCAGTGGAGGAGATGAGTGGGTCACATGGTTGGGGAAAACCTAGAGGCATGGTGTGGTGTACATGGGGAACAAGAATTAGGAGCTCATTGAAACTGGTTTACTGAATCTATTGTTGTAGTAGCATGTTGAGGCCTGAGGAAATTTTTATGTGAAGTAAATTGATGTTTATTAATTAAAACATGAAAATTAATATGCTCTCTAAATAAAACACTAAAAGAATCAATGTGTTCTTCCTGGCCTGTCAGTCCATGTATTTTGGTTTCTCTGGTCCAGGGTCCTTCTGATGAATGCTGTGCATGATTACCTAATACCTAATTACCTAATACCTCTGCACATACACAGCTCTCTAGTCATTGTAGAGGATGCTCTTCACTGTGGTCATCATCAAATCCTTCTGTCACATAAGTTTATACTCTTAACCTTCCACTTCTGCTCTAAAAGTATGAGCTTTTGAAAACCTGAGGTGCCTCTGTTTTTTACTCTCAGATAGTACAAGAAAAAATTTAAATTCATGTAAACTTCAATTCCTTGTCAGCCCTCTGACAAGCCTGCTAATTTGAAATACAGTGTTTTCATTCTCTGCAAAGTCATTCT